TGAAAGCTGTCATGATAAATGTGTTTTCTAAATTTGAATTTTGATTTCAAACATAAATTATTATAGACATTGATTCCTTGGGAAAATGTTGTGTCGAATCGTTGTCGAAAAATAAACACAACATCCCATTCATTCCCATTCGAACCCAATTCCGATTTAAAAGTAAAGTTTTCGTGTCTCCAAGTCTGCGAATACTGTAACAACTACACATGCGTTGTATAAATAATTGAAAACGATTTATAGGGGAAGTTCATTGTGACCTCTTTATAAATAGCATCGCGTTGCTTTGTTTTTAATTTGTTTTTTAGACTTCGAAATTTAAAATTAACCAACTGACTATATTCTAGAATAAGTGACAACGCGCTTTAATTAAAATGTTCCTAGAATTGTTTCAACGACTTAACGGTATTCTTTTTTTAAATTGTGCTTCAAATTTTTCAAACATTGGGCGTGTTTGGCCGAAGTAAGTACTTACTAAACTTAGTAAGCCAGTAAGCATAAAAAAATTAAAGTCTTACAAGCTGACTGTAGCGCTTTTCGGCCAGGACAGACTTACTGGCTTATTAACATAACACAAAACACCGGTTTATGTCATATCCCGTACATAACCTCATAGACTGAATATAATTGACAGTACTAAATTTAGGAATATAATTTAATACCTGTGAATAGTTTCAAATGGATAATTTTATGAGAAATATTTTATTGGATATTTTATTGTCCGTTTTGTTTACATCAACAATAAGCAAAATGGCGTCGTATATTAAGCCATACTTACTGCGTTAGCACTTATTTTGTGTCCCGGCCGAAAATTTTGTAAGCATAGTAAGTGACTTACTAAATTTAGTAAGTACTTACTTCGGCCAAACACGCCCATTGATTTTATAATTATGCGTATTAAAATGTTTTTGTATCTGTAGCAGTATACAGCGCATGCGCTGTATACAACAAATACGAATTTCGCAAAAACTTAGCAAGGGTTTTGACGCTATAAATTTCTGTTGTATTGAAAACAACAACAATCACTTTGTTACATGATTTAAATATACGTTCAAAATATTGAGGACAATTATTGTTTTCAAAGAAAATGAATACTTTTTTAATCTACAACAAAAACACGTGAAACTTCAAATTTTTTTTTAGATTTCAATGCAAATTAAATAATTGTGATGTATGAATGAGTTCTAATCTGGTAAATGTTTCCTTTTTGTACCTAAGTGAATAAAAAGCAATATTAGTGTAATCTAAGTCGACATTATATGCAAATGAACTTAAGTAGGTTTCCCCATTTCTCATGCGATTTCTATGGCATGTTTGGTTTTATGACGTGTGTTCAGTTTATGACGATATTGTTAAACTTCCTTTCAAAGTACATATTGGTTTAGAATACTAACTTAAACTTGCTAAAATTATATATGCAATATGCGGACTTTGAAAACCGATTAAAGTATTTTTTTCAAATAGCAAAATTATTTAAATTTGATTGCGATTTACTGGTCAATTTCATTCTGTTTAAACGATGTCCTTCTCAGACATAGATCATCTCGTGTCGAACGTAAAACAATTATTAATTCGTAAAGACTATATATGATGAGGCCCCGATGACACGACACTAAACCAAATTAAGTAACCCATAATTCCAAATTTAAATATATGTTTTTTATTGTTTAGACTTAGATATTTTATTCTAACTCTATGTTCGAAATTTGAAATAAAACTTACAGCGTACTTATCACTTAAAACATACTTTCGAATTTAAACTTGAATGCGTCTTGGGCTTAGTTCAATAGTAAAAGTTTTGTAACAATATCCGATATACTTATTACTTATTGCAATTATATCTATAACAAGATACGTAACCATTTCGCAACAAGTGAATGTTATTAACCTTCAGGGGCCTGGGAAAATAAAGAGAAAATAAGGATATACAGAACAAAGTTAAGAATTTAAGTTAATTCAAAATCACCTTTTCTCGCCGGCAAGGATTTTTGACTTTTTAACGTATTAAATATTTTTTAGTTGCCAAATTTACGACATCATTAGGAAATTATACGGTAGACAATTAATAATATTAAATGTGGCCTAGCTCTATTAAGCAATAAAAATAAATTTTGACTAGTTAATTATTTATAAATTCTATTTTCTACTTCTACTGCCCCTATCCAGCCCCCGGGAGACACCCTTGGCCACTTTGAACTTGGTTATCCGTCAAGCATCTCAGAAGTCCTCGGGAATACTTTAGCATTGTTGTGCCAGTGAGTGAGCTGACGTTTTGATGTTACCAGTATACGGCCATATATTTCAATATATTTTCGTAAATAAAGTACGAAAATAAACTGCTTATAATTTTGTTTGTCAATTGAAAAAAAGATGAAACTAAAATCCTGTTAAAATTTAACAATCAAGTGACCTAATGACACGTTTGACTCATCGTATCCTCTGGTCAAAAACAAGTTCTCCTTGATAATATTCAACGACTTCTAAATATTCGTTTAAATTAAGAACTTGACTCACAAAAATGTTTTTTCCTCGATAACGACTAAAAGGTAAAAAGGTCTAAGGTTTTATATACAAGTAATAGTTGACTAAAATCGCAATAAAGGAAATCATTAAAAATATGTCGTCACAGTGACTCAGTGTTAATTGTTTCTTAAGAAGATTTTGCAATACCAAAATATAGAAAGTGATATATGTATTTTAGATGTGTGTTATCTAATAACAAGGTCCTACAATCACTTAGAAAGCCTATTAATAAACTGGTTTGCATAATATCGGTCCGTTTTGAAATCGTTTTAAACTACGCTAAGGGTTTTTAATTCTACTATATATCGATTAAAGTGCTTATTATATTAATGGATTGTTACTTAATTTATAGCCTAATAAGTGGGACACTGGCAAACTAGAATTAAAACTCCAAGGCTTACATTTCATAACGTTATATGTGGGTTTTTGTAGCAAAAGTGGACTTTCAAAATTTTCGTATTTCACTAATGTTTTTATACAAACTTGTTACTAAATTATTATATTGATGTATAAATTAATATAACTTATTATTTTAGTCATCGATTTTGTTAGACAATCCTTGGGCATACGAAAGCCTGATTATATTTTGTAAAACTTATTATTGTAGTCGATGTATGCTTTGATTTTTGGACATATGTATATAAAAAATACACGTCGTCGAACTAGAGGAGGTATACAGGTTCGGGAATTTTAAATTCACTACAATAACTCTTAAAACATCAGTTAATCTATGAGCATACATAAGCTGGCAAATGCTCGAATTTTGACGTAAAACAAATAATAATCCTAATTAATCACGTTCTTTCGGGAGAATTGAATCATTTAAATGTGATAATTGTTCTACCATATCTCTTTTCATTCTCCCTCTGTTCCTCGTGGTCAAAAATAACGTGGACTTGTATTCTATAACGTTGATTAAATAAAAAGATTGTGAATACAAAAATTCTTGTTACATTAATATTTCCAAACATGTTCATTTAATCATCATAAATTGCAATAAAAATTATTTCACACTCGTGAACGATTATGGGTACAAATATTTGCATTTCGCAAAAAATCTCTCACGATTAAAATCGTATAATGGACGCAATTTTTACACAATGCGAGCTTCGACTAACGACACTTTACGACATCGTGTGGACGTGTTGCATTAGATTGCAATTTTAATAACCGAAAGGATGAGCCTTGGCGATTATCCCATTAAAAATAATGTAAGATTTAAATTTCTCGACTAAATTTATATGGTTCAGAAACTAAACTTTGCAAACAAGGAATAAGAGAGCTCTAAGGGTACGGATTCAGAGGTCAGGCTTAGCGGTGTATGTATCTTGATTATGCTTTTGAACGGGGTATTAATATTTTTTCTATTTGCGCAAATAATATGCGCATGCTCGTGAAGGGAGACATCATGACGAAACCAGCATTTCATTGACTAAAAAACGACATGCCTTACGCTGATAAACTACTTTAAAATTATTAAAACATATACACAGGAATGTATCTGCCTAAATTCAGGGGTCACGTGACTTCATATTCATAAATGTAGGTACTTAGTTTCAAAATATATATACTATCACCCTTGTATCATTTTGGAACAATAGTGACAAAACATTATTTTACTAATTAAGACTTATAGTACATTTATGAATAAGTAATTCATATAATCTGCAGCTGCATGTTGCTCAAATGACTACAGCAATAATATGCTAAATAGCAAGAAGTTTCGTTCACGATATTAAGACATTTACTCCTTTCTAATAAATATCATTTTGCCATAACCTGTATAAGTGCAATGACTTTACCCAGTGACATAGTTTTGAGTTAACACCCAGTTGCAATATTTCACTTACGAATGGCCGTTGATAAACTCTCACTAGACTTGACGTTGGTAGCCTAATTTGACGTATTGAATTTTATAAAAATGGTATCGTAAAATTGTATGGCGGCTATAATCTTTGTATCGCTATCGAAGGCTATCGCTATGAATAATGAAATCAAATTCTATAAAAAGAAAGATTTTTTCTACGAACTTTTCAGCCCACTGATTATGATAAAGGGACCTTTAATAAAATTCTAAACAATGATGTAATAAATAGCGGCGACATAGAGAGAAAGCTCTATATAAATCTTGTAAAATATTGATAATACTAAGAATTACAAAATTTAAAGAACATTTTCATCTGCTTGCAATATGAAAAAATACTTAGTGCATTTCCATTTCGCAGTTATTAAACATAAAGTTATTTAACTCAGATCACTCATCTATAATAATAATAATAATAAAAGCCCTTTATTCACTGACCATTTTAAGTTACATGCTATTCTAATTTAACAGTAGCAGCTCAATCTACTCTACAATAAATCAGTAGCAAACGCTAAAATTGTAGTAATTTATAAAACTGTTTATTACTTTAATTCTCGTGACGAAAAGTTGTTACTGGATCATTAGGGCTATCATACGTATTAAGAAAGTCGACATGCGGTTAAAAAACATTGGTATGTGACAGGAACTAATACTGGGTCGGCACGCACCCTGCATTTAATGAGCATCAAACCCACTGACTTACTTCGTCTGTCATACTTTTTACATTGAGGATGGCTGCGTTGGCATACTCTTATAGACTACATACACGAGGACTTCTATTCTAAGGATGGATGATCTTGATATTCTTAACTTTTTTGTTGTATTGACTATTTAATAAGAACGCAATTAGACTTAATTGTACTCGTTTAATTAGGTCTAGTAAATAACCAATAGAATCAATTAAAAAATTCCCTTAAGAAAAGCATACCGGCTATATAATTTTTCACGAACAATAATGATGATCTTACCTCTTACAAACGAATTTTTTTAGAAAGTCCGCGAGAAGTAACATACTATTCAAGAAAGCTTTGATCTCGCTGTGTTGTAAACTTTTTCTGACGGGATTCTTAATAAAATATATACAACGTTAATAGATTTTTTTAATTCAATTTACTACGAGAAGTCGTAAAGCATAACAAACATCGATTTATATAAACAAAGTGTACATTCATTTATTTCTTTTAAAGAAGTTTTGTTTTAGTGTGTACTCGCGTAAACCAAACACAATATAAACATTTCTTGTTTTTGTTACAGAAATTAATGAGAACGAACCTATAGAAGCGTCGAGGATAAAAAGAGAAGGAGTTCCCGAGAACAGGGGTGAGTAATCTCTTGCATGTTCTTTTAAATCTACCAGGTATAGATACACTTCTTTAAACTCCACTGTCTAACGTATTTGCACCCTATTGTCTTTTGATCCTATTTTGCAAAGAAACGTTTATAGTTATTACTATTCCCCCAAGGGTTCTAAACTCAATACGATTATGTTCACGAACGTAAGATTGTATTTCTTTAGTTAGCTTAGCCACAGAGCACTGTTCAAGTCTTCCATACATAAAAATAGCGTCTTACGTTTTTTTTAGTTTTGAACTGTCTATGCGGATTGCACTAATTAAGTCTACAAAGTTCAAATACGCTCGTCATGGATAACTTTTATCAGATTCAATTATATTTTGATCTTCAATTACATTTTCGCCATTGACACTTAAGTTTCTGGGTGTACAAGTGTATATATACACTTGTAAGCTTATAAGTGAAATTTTAAGATCAAACAGATGACCTTGATACAAGTTGTTTATAACTTTTTACTATAATTTATAAACTTAAATAACCAATGTGTATCTATTCCTGGGAATTTATTTGTAAAAACGCTTGTAACACACATAGTATATTATGCTGTAATTTCCTTTATTTGGTTTTACTCTTTTAGTTACTTATGCATTTATAACATATGGTTTTACCGGGGAATTTTACCGTGTAAAAACCATAGTCAATATTTGTTGTAAAAATTAGTGCTAACTATTTTATCTATTGCTTTCTATAAGCATTCTTGTTTACTCTTTCTTTGTTGCATTATTAATTGTATGTTTTTTCTTTCTCTTTCAAATCTAATCCTCGGTCGGGGTCTCCGAACTCAATGGACTTTGTAAAATAACGCACCCTCACCCTTTCCAATGACGGATGACTACAGACCTGACAGTACTTCTTTTAAACGACCAAAAACGAAATGACTTTTCTTCGAAGAATGGCCGGTATCACAGTGTCAAGCCACTTATTGGTCTTCTAACGTCAACAGCTCGAACATTTATTCAAGATGGAGTAACAACGGAGTTTGCAACACAAATTCTCGGTACGACATTAGATAATGGCCGTATATATGCACAAGTTCTAACAAAATCTTCACTTGTTTTATATAGTAAGCCGTATAACGATGATCCTTATGTAGTAAGCCCCACAAGGGTACCTTCTCTAGATGGTTGGAACGTCAAGCAAGATTTGGGTATTATAGATCCAGAAAAATTTGTGCTCAAGAATACCGATTATTTAGCACCTAGTAGTAAAATGGATATTGTTTACGCTAGTAAGCCGGCTAAAGACACTTTTAAATTTTGGAACACTGCCCCTGAAGATCAAGTTAATGATCATGAAGAACCAACCGGCCGTAGGGTTCAAGCTTACAATGAAATTCCAAAATTTGAAGCGTATAACTATCTTGACGGTCCAGCCATTGAGAATGAGAAAAAAGTAGAATATGTTGTAGTCCCTAATAAATTAGATGATGTTAATAGCCAATATCGACAAAGTAAAGCATACAACCCTGTGATAGAAACCCCGGAAGACACTAATGTACAGAATGATATGATTAATGAATCCGAAATACTTAAAGTTAAGCCTAACTATGACTTACCAACATTTACGATTAAGAACGAGTTTTCACCGATATTTTATTATATTGATAATGTTGAATCTCGTCAATCAGGTCAACAAACATTGCCCCAAACAAAATTACCTAAAAAGTTGTTCGGACATAAAAGTGAACCAAAGCCTAAAAAAACCTTTACTTATCAAGGTTTTGCTGATTTTACGACCGTGGTTGGTGATACTGTTATTATATTTACACCTAATACCGATACTGTCCGCCAGTCCAATCCAGATGAAGTTAATATCTTTCCATCAGCAAATCCAGTAGATAAATTAGCGACTAAAATTACTTTCCTATCTGCCGATATTCCTGTAGCAACTTCAACATTTAAAGCTCACGAAGAAAATATGGTTACTAAGTTAGCCACGCCAAGTAACAATGAAGATAGTAATGAAAAACTTTTCTATGACGGTGAAAAAAGTGATGAAATTCCCCACGACACTGATAGTAATATTCCCGACTCAGTAAGCGTTCAACATTCGAATGGATTCGATTTAAATTTGGATGTAATACAGCCATCAGAGCCAGTTTACACAACAACGGAAAGTACACAAAACACAGACAATTTAGAAATTATTTCAATAAATGAACAAAGTTCACGGCCAACTGAACCTTTGACTACTATTAATCCATCAACTATACTATTAGATGAGTCAAAAGAATCCGTGGTTACAGAAGGAAATATTAATGAATTATTTACAAATTCCGAAGAAGAGACTGAAAATACAGCAGCGGAAGTCACTGAATCTACAGATGAGGATGAGGAGTCGGAGGAACGTGAAACTACGCACGAAATGGAACCAGAGTTATTAACAACAACTGAGAGTGGACATAGTGAAGAATCCGAAGAAATAGAAACCACAACAGAAAATAGATACAACAAGCATGAGCAGGTATTCTGTAATGATGGTCTTGAAACACAATCTACTATGACTACCGAATACAAAACATTAACATATTTAACAACGTACTTTATTCCTTTAGAGAGCACAGAAACAACTACATCTATAAAATCAGACATTGTTGTTGAAAGTAATGTCGGATACTTGACTAATGTAGTGTGCAAAACTGATGCTGAGATTATTAAACAAACTTCCGTCGTAAAAGTTGAAACTATTACTACGCAAAGTAATTTAGAGACACCAGGTATACAAGAAGATTATAATGACATAATAACAAACGCAGTAACAGAGAGTACGCCTAAAACTACTCCAATGCAAAAAGAGGAACTTACAACTTCCCAAGACGAAGAGCCGCTTATACTAGAAGATTTTAATGAATCAGAAATCATACGAAAAGAAAGCCACACAGAAGTATCAACAGCTACTACTGAGCGAGTTTCAACTAGCCAAAGTCACGTAGAGGTGTCAGTTAGCACGGAACATACCCCAACTGAAAAACAGCCACTAGAGGAAGAAGTAAACGATGCAGATAATGAAATCGACCTTATCTATAAAACTTTATATACCACTTATACGTATTTCACAACATTCTTTGGTGACCAAACATCTAGTGTAGCTAGTCATAAATCTATAGTGACCAATATAATCACATCTACAATAGACTTATCACGATTAGATCCATCATTATTAGATGCTTTTAACGACGATAAAATTGCTCCAACTAATGTTGGAGTCGGTATACCTACAGAAACAATTCCTATTAATAGTATAATAGACTTAGTTAAAAATAAAGATGTGATTGAATCTGTTGAAATAGGCGAACAATATAATTCTCAAACTCCTACACCAATATTAGAAGATGCCCTAAAAAGCATAAACCCTGATTCGGTACAAACTTACTATACAACGTATAAATTCTTCACAACCATCTATGTTGGCACTGATGCAAATGTTTGTAGTAGAAGTGAAATTTATACAAATTATGTTGGACCCGATGAGTTGATTCCTACTAAAACTAATTCACTACCAACTGAAAGCACAAGAGCTCAATTCGATTTCAGAAATTGCAAACAAATAAAAGGTAAAGCACAAGAAGATAATAAAAGTACCAGTAATGAATCTACAGAAACTAGTATGTCGGTAAATGGAAAGGTTAATTCTAAGGAAATATTCCCACAATCTACACCCCTTGAAGTAGACATGTTATTTAGCGTAGATTCCAATCCATTGATCTCAGAAAATTCATATGTAACAGACGTAAAATCATCATCTTCTAAAGGTGAGACTAAATATTTAGATAACAATAACGTGCTTGATGACCAAATTAGCTCTGAAAGCAATATCGATGAAATAATGCCTTCACCAACGCTCCTTCTACAAACAAGCTACACTACATTTACATATTTTACCACAATGTATATTGGAAAAGAGTCAAGTAATGTAAAAAGCCGATTAGAAACGATAACTAATGTTGTGACAGAGACTATAACTCCAAAATCCGAGCCAGAAGAGGAAAGCAACTTACCAATTACATATTATACAACATTTACGTATTGGACTACTCTTTATAAAGATAAATCAACGACAATAACAAGTCGCGAAGAAATTGTTTCAAATATAGTTACTCCTTCGGTTCAAGTTGGTGCTACCATTAGTCCAATAGATACGTCACCTATAGACGTTGAAAGTGTTTTACCACCTAATGATCTTGAGATTGTTCTTAAGCCATCTCTACTAGAAGATACTTTAGAACATGATGATGGAAAAGCCACATTCTATACAACATATACATATTTTACGACATTCTATTCTGGAAATACGTCACAAATACGAAGTAGCTTAGCTACAGTCACAAACATTGTTGACAGTACTAAAGTACTCGAGGATAATCAACTAGGTAGGAAAATTCCGATTGGAGGAATTGATAAAAACTTACTTCAAGATAACGGGGAAAAATTATTACAAAACATAATTCCAACCCCGCTTAAAGAAGAAATTAAAACAACGCAATTACCCGAATTATCTTCTACAACGACTACGGTTTTACAAGGTACTTATATTGATAATCTATTTGCTGAAGTAAAACCACAAGAAAATCCAGAACCAATTCCTGACCAAGAGAAGAAAATAATATTTTCCCAGGTAGCTGTTATATCTGGGGATTCAACTATTGTTACAAACGATAATAAGACTTTAGACGAAACGACAACAACAACAACTACTACATCTACTACTACAACGGAAAGTTCAAATATTCTCACTTCAAATCCTGATGTTATTGAAAGTTCTGTAACTGAGCCAGAAACCACAACACAAGCTCAATTAAGTGAGGAAGATGATGATGATTCTAATTCCAGGAAAAAGGGTCGACTTAGTTTCACTACGAAGAAACCTACATTTACACCTGTTATTATTCCGTTTGCTTCGAGAAATAGGCCAACATTTAGCCCAAAGCGGCAACAACTTCCAAATAGTGCTACAACAATTACTCGACCGGAATTTACACCGACAATTACTGCTACACCAACTCTGAAATCCGTGCGACCCACTGGTAGTTTTGGAGGAAACCGAAAACCAATAGCAGTTGGAAGTTCATCAAATTCCGGAAGAAGGTTCTCTGGTCGATCAAGTTCGCCTGTAAATCCATCTGCCAATATACCAGCCTCAAGGCCTGGGGGATTTGGCAGAGCGAGTATTCAACCTTCAGCAAGAAGAACTGGTTTTCGAACGACTTCTTTGCGTAACAACTTAGACTTTTCCAGCAGATCAGCAGTACCAAAAATAAGACCTACAGCAACAACGCGCCCGAGAAGTGGTAGACAATCCTCTGTATTTTACACACAATCAGACCAAAATGAAGGTGAAACATACGCAACCCAACAAGAAGAAAATGTAACAGAATCTTTAGATGAAGTTACTGAATCTCCTTCACGTCAAACAACGAATAATCCATTATTAAAATTTAGACGACCTCCAATTGCTAGACAACCGGGTACAGCTGTAATACCGAGATCAACAACTCCTGCCCCAAGAAGAACTGTACCAACACGTGGTCGACTTACAACTACAACAAGACGAACAATTACTAGAACAACCAATAACCCGTTACTTTCATTACGCAGACAAAGGCCTAACGCTTTGTTCCCAAGAAGAAATCTTTTTAAGCAACCAGAACCAGATCCCGAAGAAGAAATAAGGGAAAACGAACAAAAAGTTGATGAAAGCGACGAAATTCTAGAAGAAGAGGAATTTGAGGATGATAACGATTACGATTCGTCAAATCGAAAAGAGCAGAAAGTTGCAACACCTGCTCCATTAAAAAGATCTAACGTTGTTTCTATAAGACCTTTTGGTTTCAAGCGAAGAGTAAAACGTCAAGTTGATTATGGAAGCAGAAAGTATAACAACTTTAGACGTCCTGGTACAAAGTCAGTAAGTACACGTAAGCCCGACCCGGAGCCTGAAACAGAACCACCAACTCCTCCAAAACCTAAATCTAGTAGATATAATTCAAGAGTTCCAGCCAACCCTAGAAGTACAACTGCGTCAGCACCAAAGTCCACACAAAGACAACCATTTATTGTGCGTGGAGAAAGCAGGGCAACAACCACCACAAGTCCAGCTTACAAACGTGGTGGAAAATCAAGACCTGCATCTAGAACAACAACTTTGTCTTCAAGACCTAAAGCCCCACGTTTATCTGGGAAAAGTTCCCCTCCATCAAGGTCAAATTCGGGAAGAACAACGAGCAGAAATTCTCGACCTCGAACAACAACAAGCAGAGCGTCTAGTAGACAGAGAAGTTCCTTCGAAAATTATAGCGGTGAGAGATACAATAAATTTGACAACATACTAAATGATGGTAAAATAACTGTTACTCATCAAATACCTTTTGAGGTTACTATACCAATAGTAAATGGAAAGATTACAGAATACAAACATGTTTTATCTGCAAAACCTAGTATCGAAACACTTTTATTAAATCAAGTGTCCACCTCAATCGGGCCTTTAGGTAACCAACAATTAGTACTTGACGTAGAATCAACTGAATTATCAGATAATGGTGCTACTAAATTAACCAAATATGTTCTTCATGAAACACCAACAACTACTGTTATATTTACACCTACAACAATTCGTGGTCGTAAAACATCATTTTCCCACGTATTACCAAGTACAGTCTACAATGTAGAACCTGTAGTTCAAACTGTAGCCCCAGAAATTAACTCCAATGTACCATTAGCAAATTTGTTACTTTCTCAACTCCTCTTAGGAAACCAACAACCAGCAATAAACCCTCTACTTGCCCTGCAAGGTCAAGGCTTATTACCTCAACAACCTGTAGTACAAACACCAGTAACTGAGTACAAAACTAGATCTACAACATATGTAACAACAGTAACGGATGCAAGAGAAACTGTTTTGTCCATTACATTTAGAGGTAGACCAATTTTAACTACAATAGTTAATCCAACTATGGATGTCATTACAGCAACTGAATTCATAACTGACACAGTTGTAACAACACCAACAGTTTTAGCTCCACCACCACAACAATTCAACTCGCTACTTCTACCATTACTTCTTCAACAACAACAGCAACAACAGCAACAACAAGCTTTACAAACCGCTAATCCTTTATTAGGCTTAGCTCAAAACGACTTAAACTTTTTATCAAATAATTTAGGACAAAATCATAATACTCAAAATAACCACTTCAACAATGACATCTTTAGCAATAGTCCTAAACCTAATGTACTCTCAGATTTTAATAGCAACGAAGACTTTTCTGAGGATGTTCAAAATGATGAAGAGGATATTCCTCCTCCATCACCACCCCCCACACGCAGAAGGAGCAAACCAAAATCTGCGAAACCATCTCCACCTAAAATGACAAGCGTTGTAACACTATACGTATCTGGCAAACACCCTGGTGAATTTAGCACTGTGTTGTCGACAGTTGTTACAGATGACACCCAAACAGTAAGAAAGCGTGAAGCGATATATTTTGAAGACGTCAAAATAATACCTTCGATTCTACCGACCGTAAGCGAACTGTACGGTTCACAAGGTAATGCTATGGAAAACTCTATTAATTCAGATATGGACAGATACTTTTTAAGCTCAGTAGAGGACTCTCAAGTAGAAACTCAGAGCTTGGAAAGTATAATTGGAAGTTTAAGTAGTCACATAAAATATGATGCCTCGCCAACTTATGTCGTAAAATTAGCAAGTGCCTCTGTAAGTGATACAAAACAAAGCTCGGTAGATGGCGTCTCGTGAAAGCCGAACGATTGGTTAGGTATATAATAATGGAAGTAGTTATTTATTTACATTGTATCATAGTACACTATGAATAGTGCCTTATAGTTATAGTTCATAGTATAAGAAAAAATACTCTTTTGTACTTTAGATTTAAATGTTTCTTAAGAATTACCAAAAATATTCTTTTTTGTTACCAGAATTTGTACTAAGGTAACGTTTGTCTAACCACGACCTAAGAATGACTTTTGGTACTTAAAGTATAATTTTAGTTACTTTTTAATACTCGTACATACTTAACGCTTCGAATTGTAAATTGCAAAATACGACTTAAATATTATTAATAAATTGTATTGAATTTTTGTTTTTGTTTCATTTTACCTTTTATTATTATCAAAAAACCTAACATCATTGGCACATCAAAAATACATTGAAGTAATTATAAAGTAACCGACAAAGCCGTATGTATGTACAAAATAACTCAATGATAACTAAATAAAATAATATTTCAAAGCAACGGCTGATTGAGAAGTCCGATACGATTTTTCCAAGTTGCCTCTTCGGATCATAGACTACAAAATATGACTGAAGACTTGACCTATAAAACTTGACACTGACTGACACCAATAGGAATACTTGACTACCTACCACGGCCCGTCCATCCTGCTCTCAACCAATCTTGGTGAGTATTTTTTCTTAATTATGCTTTACAAACACATATAAGTTGATCTTTTCAATAGTTGATATAGGTACATATAAAAACTCGATCATGACTTCTGTGTGTTTTGTAATGTAGTCAACAATAAAACAATTAAACTGCAGCTAATAAAATGTCATTGCTTATCAGGTTAAATTATTATAATTATTTTGTGAACTATTAGGATAAGCTTGCAGCATTATGAAACGGCAAAATTGGTTTAATCAAAATTATAGTAAAACAATCTTAACTAACTTTTTTACGATCACATAAAATATTTAATTTTCTTTCGAATAACTACCGATGATACTTAATTGACATTTCAGAAGCTGTAGTTATTTTTTTAACATGTACATAGTATGCCTGTATGAATGTTTAATACATGAAGTCTTAGGATTATTCAACTAAGTATATAATATTGATTAATAAAGTAATTACGAGTGTCTCTTTTACATATTTGTAAATGTTCTAAGTTCAAAAATCTTAAGGCTTCATTAACAGTAAAGCTAGACTGCATGATTATGTTGTGCACAGAAAAAAGCTAGTAGAAAAACAAAGCTGAATAGTTGGGTGATTATTGCATGAATGCTATGTTGATAGGTTAATTTTAAAATTATTTTAAATTCCTCATATTTAGTTTTTATTTAAGAAGAAACTTTAAAATATATAATGTTTAAAATTTTCTAATTAAATTATTAGTTTCGTACAAGCTGTCTTATACGGTGTATACAGTGGCCTAATTGATCATAAGTCGTATATCTCAGCCTGAGTTACTCGCCCTAAGATAGATGAGATTTTCTGTTCATTTTTGCAATGAGCTAAGCGGACACGGTGTAATTTCCACTCTAGGCGACAAAGCTGTATTTGCGAAATCTCTGTAGCCGTGCGATTCTGTTAATCCGTGAGTTCACTTTGCACTACAACGCTCCCTTCGTCACTCACGTCATTTTTGAAATCTTATAGTATTCTGTTAAGCAATTTCACATTACGTCTTGACAAGCAGAGGGAGTTTGTAGTTTATCAGAATCCCAAATCGTAAAAGGACTGTTCGAAAAGTGAGTTACAGAATCGCAAGGCTGGAGTCTCATCTCTTGTGGCGCCTTTTCAAACTGAATCCCAGTTTTAAACAAAAAAAATAATTAAACAATAATACTCTTAGAATATGCTACTAATCGAATTACACAACATTATATTGTATATACCTAATGAATATTTAAATAATGGTAAGCTAATGACCCTCACCGTTCCAATGACGTTATATATATTTTCAGCGTTTAATACAAATGCTATCGTATACGATAATACGCCATGGAGACCAGGAAGGGACACAGGAGTGCCGCATCGTTCAGAGGAAGATGTCAGAAAACTTAATCTCGCTACAAGGATTATGTCCAACGGTGTTGAGGTTTTGGTTCGAGATAAAAATTTCGATGGAAAACAAGAACAGGTAATTGCTATTTTTGCTAAAATTTAAAATAAATATTTAAAATATGCTATAGAATATAGTGGTTTACTAACCATATAATGTGGATGAGTAAAATAACACATTTTTAATGAAAACTTGATAATAAAGCCCTAAAATATGACAACAATAACACAAATAATATGAAATTCTGTTTGTCACATAATGAAATTTTAACAGCAACAATTTTGTATACTATTATTTCCAGGCCAACGAACCAACCAACTGCTACATAACTTGTTATCGTATTTTTATTTTCATTTTATTTTTTCTCAGCGTATGCTAAAATTATTGCCAGTTGCTTCAACAAAAGTAAGCAACATGGGTCTAAAACAAAACAAATCACTATTATCATCAGCAGTAGCGACGTTTGTTAGTCGACAACAAATGAGCGCAATCTTACCAATGCACCAATTAATGCAGCACAATTATATAATCAAGACATGCATGACAACTTACACATATCTCACGACCATAGTTCACAACAAAAGAAGCGCTATTTCAACGTTTGAAACTATAGTGTCTGTAGTTACAACAGAGTCACTGACCAATCTGTACGCATCAGAAGTACTGGCTGACCTAAAGCCAACGAAAGTAAGATTACTTACATTACCCAGGGTACCCTGACTCTTGGGAGTTTACCATATCCAGTGCTGGCACCCTTACCATGCGTTATTTAACTTAATTATATACACAATAACCCCAAATACACAATTACCTACCCTACTAATTCGTTATCATAATATTAACAATGCCCCGTTATGACTTTATAATTGCTTTACTATTTCTTAACATATTGTATTTGCAATTTCAGACCAAGTACATGGATGTTAAAACTATACATGCAACAGCTACAAATAATATGTATTTGGAAAATCATCCTAAAATTGACAAAAGAGTAGATAGTCAAGAAGATGATGCTATGTTCGATTTGATACAGCCGTCGGAAGTAAGTCACTCACCATGTTCAACAACTTCTTGCTCCTGTAGCCACACAAAGACTGAGAGTTTGCAATCGAAATACACTAACGCAAAAGATGCAGTATCCACCACTGAAAAACATGGATCAAAAACTACAAAAAGAGATAAACTTAAGTTAGATATAAAAACAACAAATAAGGAAACATTAAATATGAAAACAAATTATCGACCTTACGACTATGAGGTAAACTCTCAAATTACTCCTACAGACAGGATCGTAGAAAAATATACAGAAGTTATAAGTGATTATTCTGACGAAAAAGGAACAAGTCATATAGAAACCAGTGACCTATTAACTAACGAGCAAGCACCAACGCCAATCAAGAATAATAAATTATCATATAATAATAACAACACTTCTGAAAAAGTGAAACCAGAGAAACCGCAAAAGATTAATAAAAATAAACAAGTTGTTGCTGAACTCATAAAACTGGGGTCGCTTGGAATAAAAGGCTTATCCCAATTAACTCCTATTTTTGAAAAGATGACGGGTAGTTTTATGAAAAGACAAGACGATAATCAAAGCACAACATCAACAACTACACCAAAACCTGTTACAAAGCTTACTCAATACTCTGCTGACAAGCGCGTGGATAGTGTTGAGACTAAGCAAGGGAACTTTCCAATTTATATACCTGTAGATGAAATGGAAACATCTGAATCGCAAGTGTCTTTTTCAAATGTATCGATGCATCCAAACTTTCCCTGGGCTCTCGAATATAAGCACTCTAAAGGCCATATACTTCCACCGAAAATTGTACAAGAAAGTCCACTCGTTAATGGCGGTATCCCTATAAGTCCAGGAGAAATTATACGAGCAAACTCTGACGTTATTGTAGGTAAGCCTGCAGTGGGTGGACCCCTGACGTTAGCAGCTAGTGGCATCAAATTGCATAGTTCTGGCAATCTTCCACCACTGGATAGTTTTATGTCTGATAGCGAGCAATATTCTGTTAATGAACCATATCCACTTTCACTTCCTCAAAGTAATAAACCAACACAAAATAATGTCGACGATTCATTTGATTTAAGACCTCCAGAGCCACCTAAGATTACACCACAGAGAAAACCATCATTAAATGTACATGCGCTTCAAAGCTTACCTACTAATAAGAACTATGAAAAGCCACTGTACTCTACGCAAGGTATTGTAACGAGCCCTAAAGATAGAATAAACCAGCATAAACATACTCAAAGTACCAATTTGAACAATGATTACGGTAAGCCAGCATTTTTAGACTATATACCCCCAGTTGTTAAACCTTCCAATAGTATACCATTAAAACAACATATTGAATTTAGACCTTATGATGATAAAATTATAATGGATAGCAGCCCTAGTTCCTCCGAAATTGTTAGTACAAAAATAGATGCGACGGACGAAGATTCAAGTCTCTCAGACTCATCAGAGTCCGCAGACAAGCCGTTTTTAGTTGACATTCAACCTTCCAGAGTAGCTAATGTATTAATACCTCATGGAAGCTCAACCGCTCTAATATTTGCTGGATCTTCAGAGCCTCACAAAACCGGAGAGTATATTGATGACCCGTTACCATATCCTGAACCAGGATATTTTGGAAGTTTTAGTATTGATGCTCCACAAATGACTTATGTTCACAGTGTCAATCCTAGCAAAGATCAATTTTTAAAAGATTCTCGTATCGTCACATCACTAAATCTATCAAATAATCAGAATATTCGATTTGGTGAAGGTATAAATGAAACACGTAATGAAATACCAATAAGGAAAAATAACCAACGTTATAATTTACAACACATTCCACCTCCAATTAGTATGCAAGAAACACATTTACGTATAGGTCCGCATATTACTGTTTACAAGCCCGATAATTATAAGGGTGATTTTGAGAAATATAAGCA